CTTCTTTTGTTTATTTAATATTTATTATTTTTTATAAAAGCGCATCTCAATATCTAATAAAAACCATATAAATTCAAATTTCAAAAAATTATAAAAATTCTGCAAAGTTGCATTTAAATTCTAAACTTTTTAATTTTTTAGATTCTTATTTAATACGCAGTTTTATAGCTTATTCTATTTTAGTGCAACAAAGTGTAAGTTTTGAGTTGCTAATGAATCGCGTTGATTTTTGATAATTTTTTTGGTTGAAAGTGTTTCGCATTTTTCCATACAAAAACAAAATTGTCGAACATACTTTGTATGGGAGAAAATTAACGCGATTTCTTAGCAACCTAAAACTTACACTTTGTTACACTAAAATTGAATGGACTATAAAACTGCACACCAAATCTAAAAAATTAAATAGTTGAGAATTTAAATGCAACTTTACAGAATTTATATAATTTTTTGAAATATGAATTTTTATGGTTTCTGCTAGATATTGAGCTGTGCTTTTATAAAAAATGATAAATATTAAATAAACAAAACAAATATAGCCAAAACTGGTAAAAATAAGGGGTTTCTATTATGCTGGCCATTGGTGTACAATGTTTTTCAAGCTGAATTTTTTTGTTATTATTGTATAACAATATTGTTCATGGCTGAACTAACTACCTATTAATCAAAATTTCAAACTTTATACAGATTCTTATTAAAAAGTTCGAAATTTTAAAGAACATTATTTTATATTTTTTTTAAGTCTATATAAAAATTTAAACTTTGATTTACATGGGTTTGGTTCAGGCATCAAAAATATTGTTATATAAAAAAACCAAAAAATAAATTTAGCTTGAAAAACTTCGTAGATATTTAAAAAAAAACAGTTTTGCTACGCAGTGCATTTATAAAACCAGCGTAAGTTTAAAAATTAAATTTTTTTATTGCACTAAGTTGCCATGGAACGGAACCAGTTGTATTAAAATATTTGGTGTATATTTCACGGACTGTTCTTCCCTCAACTCCTGAATGATTCGCAAGTGATCTTTGTAAACTAGTTAAAGCTACTTCGTTTCTCCAAGATCCTTCGATTAAATTTATTGTATTTGTATCCTCCAAATCTAGGTGAATGCTTTCGAAACCATCTCGTGTTGTAATGAAATTGTGCAGCGCGCATGCAGCTAGTGTTAGGTTCTCAATTTTGTCTAGTGGTAAATCAATATTTCTTTGAAATATTTGGAATCTATTTGCCAATATTCAAAACGCATTCTCAACTACTCGTCTGGCTCTACTTAAGCGGTAGTTAAAAATTTTGTGGTAATCGCTTGAACGTTGGCCATGTGGCTTTAATATGCGAGAAGTCAACTTGAAAGCGTCGTCTGCCACAAATACAAATGGAACCGTTTCATTAGTGCCCGGTAGTTTTGAATCCGGTGGAATGTTAAATGAATTCTCTTTTAGTCCCTCAAGAAAAGATGACTCATTGAAGGCCGCGGCATCATTGGCTCTTCCATTCGTTCCAACATTTACATATATAAATTTATAATTTGCGTCGACTATGGCTAGCAAAATAACGCTATGAAATCCTTTATAGTTGAAAAAATAAGACCCGTACTCTTTTTTGTAACGAATCGCTATATGTTTGCCGTCTGCGATAAGAAAAAATAAAAATATGTATGTATGAACTTTGAATCAGTTTAGGCACTTCAAACCTATAGCTCCCAAGCAATGGGGGAAATTCCATTTCCTTTCAAATTCATCCGCCACAATGCGCCATTCATTGCTATTTTGGGGCATCTATAACAAAAAATAGTTTAAGCAATTAGTAAAATGTCTCATATTTGTTAAAAAATCGTCTCTCAAAACTAAGTAAATAGCTTTCAAAGTTTCTGATACAATTTGTGAAATTGCTGAATCTGATGTTCGGAAGCCGAAAGATAATTGACTAAATCTTTCCCCGGTGGCTAAAAACCGAAGTGTTATAAGCAACCTAAAGGAAAATTGATTTATAACATGTATGTATGTACATATATACGTATATAAAATTAAAATTATAAAACTAAAATTAATCATTTGTCAATGTTATTGTGGCTTGTTAACATTTTATTTTTAATATTTTTATTGAGCTTTGTACCACGATTGTTTATTAGGAAAAATTGAAAAAGCAACAAAGCCTAAGCGGTAGAAGTTATAGCACTATTTCGGAGATCACCACATCTCCTCATCAGACTTATTTTTTCTAGACTTCAGCAGGGATCGAACCTGCGAATTCGATGTTCAAAGTCAGAAGCGTTAACCACTGAGCTATGTACATCCCGTAAACTAAAATTAATCAAACCCACGAGTATAAGCTAGTACATACATACATATAATGCTCTAAAATACATATATGAAATATAGTGACCTCGTGCTGGGAGAGATTGCTTGACGCATCGGTGTGTCTTGCTTTGCAATAAATGGAGTAAGTTTCTCTAGTAGTTCAGAGAACATATTTGTTGACATCCTGGCAAAGTTCTTGAAAGCTTTTGGTTTTTCCACGAACAGCTCCGTCACAGCCATTGAAGCCAATCCTCGCCCGGAATCTCTTCGCAGTAACCACTTTTCACTCCATAGAGCTCTTTGCCGCCGCGATCTTTTAACTTTACTCCTTTTCTTTCGCATTGTAGCAACAGACATTACAATAGCGTACAAAACAATTTTTTTATCTTTTGCGTCCATCGGAAATTTCCATTTAATTATTTTTCTCAAACTGTAAGTAATTTTTGTTGACACTAAATCAGCTGCCATGTCAAATAAAAGTACATATTCAAATACATATCGTGTAAACGCTAACCAAATATAATGAATTTGACACCCATATACAATTACATATGACTTGAAAAAGTGACATGTACACATGCAAATACATATCGTGTAAGAACACCTTTATTTGGACCAACAAAAAATGTATTTGAGTTTGGTCGAAATTAAAAATCATGCTCGTACCTGACCGGTTGTCTGGAAATGGAAAGCATCAACTACACAAAAAATTTTGGCAGTTATGTGGCGCGTGATTCTATATAATTGAAAAAATCGGCATCTGTGCTCCGATTTGGTTTATATTCAGAATCGTATATTACCTATTTAAATTTAAATATATTGAAAATTTTGTTTGTTAAGGTCAAATCTAGTATAATATTAATTGCAAGATTTCAAAAGACTAAAAAGTAGAAAATAAAATTATAGTTAAAAAACTAAAAACATTGCTTTACAGTGGACTTTATTTTGACTATGAATATGGGCCAATCACTTTAATCCTATTTTTAGCTAGTTAAGAAAAGTTAAATTAAATCAAGCTAGGGAGCTTCCTATTCTTCTTAAACGGAATCACTATATCTATAAATTATTTTATACTTTTGAGTTCTTGTTGTAATAGAATAAAAAATTAACTCGATGTTTGGAATCAGCGGGCGATTATATATACAAATTGGATAGTGGCGTCTGGAGAACAAATACCAAATTAAAATTTGTGATACAGTGTAATTTTCTGACAGTTGATTCAAATGAGCTCTTAGAAAATCAATGCCACAACCAAAATTGTTTTCGACTTTTTCTTAAGTTCTTTATTTACTTGTTCGTTGCATTGTGTCTACTACACTAAATCAATTATCTGCAATTTCAATGCAAATCAAAACAATCAATGTGAAAATTCATTGGCATTAATTTTTGCTGCAGCAGCATCCGATGTCTATGTTGATGGTGATATTCACCTTATGGCCCATATGATGCCATGTAGTTGACTGTGTTACAGTTACACAGAGTATGTACATACCCTGTGGGGAAAATCTCTAGTTCTGAACTGGGGCGCTTCTAGTACATTTAGACCCAGTACTGGTTCGCGATAAATCTCTTTTGCATGCAAGCAACTGGTGAATTTAACATGGCGATGTCCTAGGAAGTGTCAATTGCCCCCCGCTGCATCCTTTTTTCGATAGTTCCGAACTAGTCCTAAATTCTATAGTTCCGAACCAGTTCTGAAATCGATAGACGAAAGAAAAAAGTATCATGATTTTTCAATCTTTTTGGTTCTTCCGTGTGTGCGATTTTAAGTTATTTTGGAAGAAATGTGTTTTCAATTTGAAATTAAATTTGTTTGAATGATTGTAAGAAATGTACGTTTACATACCTTTAGCTGTAGCTGAGTTTGCAGAGGTGCTCGCTGTTATTTCTTAGATTCCAGACGGTCCCAAGATGTTGAAATGTTAACACAAATTTTAGTTTTGTATTACCAAGCTATGAAAAAGCATCTGCGAAGCGCAGAATAGAAGCGCATTTGAACGAAAAAGCCGCCAAACACATATCTATTTAAAGTAAACAAGCCCCCCGCTGCATCCCTTATTCGATAGTTCCGAATTAGTTCTAAATTCGACAAATAAGATCTAGTTCGTTCTGCATCCCTTTTTCTATAGTTCCGAACCATTTCTAAATTCGTCACTTTAGATATCGATTTCTATTGAAAAAACTGAAATAAATTAGTTTTTTAAAAGTACCACTTTTCTCCTATTTTGGACTGGTTGGGATTTAGTTCATATCGGACTAGTTTGTTTTTGGCGATAAAGACCTAGTACGAAACTAGAAATTTGATTCACTAGTCCGCGGTTTCCCTGCAGGGGACATATGTTTGGATGCATATATGTATGTATTAGAGAGCTGCATGAATTCATTCAAACTTCTAGCCAAACAGAGTAGAGTCGATTTGAATATTTTACTTCACATACAAAACACTCAGTGTTCGGAATTTTGTAAGTTGTGAATGTATATTTTGTTTTAAATTTTCTACCTTCAAATGGAAGAATGTGAATGACTGAATGGAAAACATTCAAATCATTCAAACTCATTTCGACAAAACTTTTTTCTCCAAGCCAGTTAGTTCGTATTCAAAATGTATTCAACAAAGTTTGATTGAATTTGATATTGATCTCAGAAGAACCATCCTATAAAGTCAAAGTGACAAAATTTTTATGAGTTTTGAATCGCTTGTTTGTATTTTTTGGCATAATAGTACCGTAAAAGAGAGCTTACCTGAGTTGTCAATCACACCTTGTTTAATTCACCTTGTTCTTATTGTAATAGGAGCGCAGCAATACATACATATGTT